AAGGAGGCAAAGGCAAGGGAAAGGACTGAGCATATTCCAACTGGAAGTGAACTAATTTCTGACAGACTGAACTGCAGCAACGTGACATTCTACAGGTACCACCCAAGACAGGTCTGGGGAGCCCTAAGACCTGATGGCCAGCAGATCAAGAACTGTAGTAATGGTATGTCAGGCGCCATTTTGTGCACTGTGGCAATAGCTTTAGGACTGCAGGGGACAACAGTGAGCTGCACATGTGCTGAGCTCACAAGAACTCAGAGTTCAGTGGATTGCACTGCTCCCCCCCCCAAAAAAATAATAATAATACCGACTGTGGCATCGTATCGGTCAAAATAGGTCCATGAACCACCCAGATAGATCTAACGTCCAACAGGTTCCAACAAGATCAGCACCACCAATAACCTAACTACATAAGACACCTGGTGTCTCTCTAATCCTGGGATCTGCTCCAACCAGAAGTGGGAGAAAGCTTGCAGAGACAATTGTGCAGCCTCAGCATGGTATCACAAGATCATGGTGAGCCAGGAGCTGGAGCTGTGGAGACCATGGTGGAAATCTAACATAAGAACCCAGACCTGGAACTCCCTGGAGGGAGTAGCACAATTGGCTGCAAGCAAAGAGCATTGTACCAACTGCAATAAGTAAAATCGCATTGTAGACCTGTGGGTGACACAGCTTAGAAACCTGCCCCAAGAAGAAGACTCTGCTAAGCACAAGTACAATGACCAAGAGCAAAAAAAGAGACAAAGGCAAAATGAATATTATGGAAAACTCCCCTACAAAGGAGCAAAACCTTATAACAACCTCAGAGTTCACTGAGGAAGACATTGAGGAAATGGGGGACACAGAATCCATAAGACTCATTATAAAGCTTCTGATCAACAATGAGAAGCACATATAAGAGTTCAAAGAATTTAAGGAAGCAGTAAAGCAAATCAATGCCAATATATTAGAAATTAAGAACACAGTAGAGCAAATTAAAAGTACAATGGAGAGTTTCCAAAATAGAATGAAGCCAGCAGAACAAAGAATCTCAGAATTGGAAAATATTTTCTGTCATCAGCGGGAAGCAAACAAACAGCTGGAAGTAGAGCTGGATCAGGCCAAAAAATGTATTCAAGAATTGAAAGACACTATTAAGAGGCCAAATATAAGAGTTATGGGAGTCCCGGAAGGTGCAGAAAGAGAAGCTGAGTTTGCAAATGTATTTAATGAAATAATCAAGGAAAATTTCCCTAATCTGGAGAAAGAATTGGGAAACAAGATCCAGGAGGGGCACAGAACTCCCAACAGGCTTGATCAAAAACAATCTTCACCAAGACATATGATCATCAAGCTCTCTTCAATTGAACATAAAGAAAAGATCCTTCAATGTGCATGTGAAAAAATTAAATTGACATATTAAGGAGTACCAATTAAACTCACAGGAGATCTCTCACAGGAAACTCTACAGGCAAGAAGAGAATGGAGTGACATATTCCAGATTCTAAAAGAAAAATTGTCGGCCTAGGATAACATATCCAGCAAAGCTTTCTTTTGTCTTTGAAAATGAAATGAAATTCTTTCACAGTAAAGAAAGGTTAAAAGAAATTTGCCTCTTCCAAACCTGCCCTACAAATGATACTTCAAAATGTTCTCTTCACAGAGACGAGGAATAGCACCTACCAAAACTAAAGGCAAATGGGAAGAACATCCCAGTAAAAGACAACAGAAGACTAAAGCAATGAACGACCCATTCCAAAAATGACAGGACCAAAATACGTTCCATACATATTAACCCTGAATGTAAATGGCTTAAGCTAAATCAAACATCATAGATTAGTAGACTGGATTAAAAAACAAAACAACATCTATTTATTGTCTAGAAGAGACACACTTTACCAACAAAAATCAGCGGAAACTATATCACATCACATGGATTTTATTGTTTTCTGTTAGTTTCATCTCTTCAAAACATTTTCTTCTGATTAAATCATTCAATGACTCATAGATCATGCAGTAGCATCATTTTCTTCAAGAAGGTTCTTGATCTTCATTTCTTCAGCTACACGTTAGTCATTTAGTAGCATGCTATTTAACTTCATGGTGTTGCTAATTTCTTTTTTCTCCCTGATGTTGATTTTGTTTTGTGTCTTTTCATTTAAGGGGATGTATAGCAGCTGTGTAATGGAGACTGTCATATCTCGTAACATGTCATTTAACTTCATGGGATTGTAAATTTCAATTTTTTTTATTGTTGATTTTGTATTATGGCTTTTCATTTGAGGGGGATGTAGAGTAGCTGTGAAATGGAGATTAACATCCAGATGTGAGGATACAATGTAGTATGCATTTCTACTTCCAGACAAAGGTGGACTTACAATACAACTGTTCACTATATTTTGACAATAGGATGCTGGACTCTCTGCCATTGTCCATGCCTGCAATGATGGACATATGGCTGTGTATGAAGAACTGTATTTTAGTAATGATATAGAGGAACTAGGTTGGGGAGAGGGAATTGGGGAGGGGATAAGGGAAATGTCAGGGACCTATGGAATTGTATCATAAAATGATAATAATAATAATAAAATGTTAAAAAAAATCATAAGATCATTTCATCTGACTACTTAGTGGTGAATTCACATGAAATTATTTCATGTAAAAGTGAGAAGTTAAAAATGTGGTAGGGGGGCCCGGCGCGGTGGCGCAAGTGGTTAAAGGTCCTCACCTTGCACGCCCGGGATCCCATATGGGCGCCGGTTCTAATCCCGGCAGCCCCGCTTCCCTTCCAGCTCCCTGCCTGTGGCCTGGGAAAGCAGTTGAGGACGGCCCAAAGCTTTGGGACCCTGCACCCGCGTGGGAGACCCGGAAGAGGCTCCTGGCTTCAGATCGACATAGTATCGGCCATTGCGCTCACTTGGGGAGTGAATCATCGGACGGAAGATCTTCCTCTCTGTCTCTCCTCTCTGTATATCCGCCTTGCCAATAAAAAAATAATAAAAATAAATCTTTAAAAAAAAATGTGGTAGGGCCTGGCATGATAGTCTAGTGGCTAATTCTTCATTTGTGTGCGCTGGCAGAATCCTATATGGGCACCGGTTTGTGTTCTGGCTGCTCCACTTCCCATCCAGCTCTCTACTTGTTTTCTGGGAAAGTAGTGGAGGATGGTGTACAAATCCTTGGCACCCCGTAGCCATGTGGGAGCCCCAGAAGAAGCTACTGGTTCCAGGCATCAAACTGACTCAATTGTAGTTTTGCATCCACTTTGGGAGGGAATGAATGAACTAGCTGAAGGAGAGTCTTTCTTCTCTCTTTCCTTCTGTATTTCTGCCTTTTCAATAAAAATTCTTTAAAAATGAAATAAATCTTTAAAAAACCGAATGTGGTAAAAATATTGCAAAAAGCAGAAAGTTGACAACCTCTTTAAATGCATACTGAGATTTTTGTATTATGATGTATTCACACTCACCATTAGGTGTTTGACATATTGGTCCCATTCATATAACAAGTATTTATTGAGAATATCCTGTGGAGTAAACATCTTTTAGGCAATAATGTTCATGTAACACAAAATCACTGCTGTCTTGGGGTTTACCTCCTTGTTGAGGAAATGAAAGCAAGTAAGCAAATGAATTGACAGGGAGCATGAATACGAACCTAGAGCATTGGGGGAGTCTAAAGGATGTGTGGCAGTGATATTTTAGACAGATCAGGAAAGGATGCTCTGATGGGGTAACACTGAAGCAAAGATCTTGGAAAGGTGAGAGACCATTCCATACAAGAGAGATCAGAGACCAAGTTCCTGAAGCAAAAGCATGGTGAAGAAACAGCAGAAGGTCTGAGGTTGGAACTGAGAGGTTAAGTTGGTGCTTATCGCATCAAAACCTCATAACAGAGTACCAGCTACCCCACATCTGATCCAGCACGTCTGCTGATGAGCCTGGGGAAGCACAAAGCATGGTACAAGCACTTGGTTACCTGACACCTGCACAGGAGGCCAGGAACATTGCAGGCTTCTGGCTTTGGACTGGCCCAAGTCTGGCCTTTGCGGCCATTCGGCTTATAAAACAGCAAGGGAAACTCTCTTCCGCCCCCCCACCCCCTGCCTTTTCTTTCCTTATTGTTCTGCCTTTCAAGTAAGTAAAAAAAAAAAAAAATAAATGAATGACATCATAAGGGAGGCAATTAGGATTAAGTGGAGAAAAAAATCTAAGAAGGAAAAACATGATGATGTAACTAAGTCAAAGTGAAAACAAATATGCTATAGTAACAATTTCAAAGGATTTTCAAACAGAAAATACACAATATTGTTTCCCAATACATTTTTGAATAGTGTGAATTTTTATAGCTTTATATATATGCATCATAATATTTTGTTTTCCTCCATCTTCCTGATATTCATCTGTTTTATCCATTTTTTAAAATGTTTTATTTTATTTTAAAAATCAGATGTACAGAGAGGAGGAGAGATGTGGAGGAAGATTATCTGTGCACTGATTCACTCCCCACATGGCTGCAGTAGGCAGAGCTGCTCAGATCCTAAACCAGAAGCCTGGAGCCTCTTTGGGGTCTCTCACACATGCACAGGTCCTGGGTTGTCACTGAGTGCCCTCCCAGGTATAAGCAGGGAGCTGAATGTGAAGCAGGGCCGCTGGGATTTGAACTGATGTCCATATGGGATCCTGGTACGTGGAATGTGAGGACTCCTGCCACCAGGCTTCCATGCCTGGCCCTGTTTCATCCTTTCTAAAATTAGTACAAGAAACTGTTGGTTGTGTAAAATGAGTCAGACAAAACGAAAACAGCGACATAGTTAGTATGTTCTTTCATGAAAATGTTCTGAAAGGCACAATATTTTATTTTTATAGACAATAGACTTTTCTAGCTATAAAAGTGTCACCTCAGGATTTTAACTTTAGTGTGGAGCTTCAAGTGTCATAGTACATGGGGAAGATGTGGGAGAAATGAATACAGGTATTGCGCTTGCTACATTAAAAATCACAATTCTACAGGCAATTTTATCTCCAAACTATCTTCATAAATGCATTCTTGACCTCTTTGTTCCTCAGACTGTAGACCACAGGGTTCAGCATGGGGATGATCATGGTGTAAAACACAGATGCTGTTTTGTCTGTGTCCAAGGAGTGGCTGGAGCTGGGCTGTAGATACATGAAGATGACTGTTCCGTAGAAGATGGAGACTGCAGCAAGGTGGGAAGCACAGGTGGAAAAGGCCTTCTGATATCCTGCAACTGAATGCAACTTTAGGATGGCGATAAATATGAATATGTATGAAATCAAAATAACCAGGAGAGCAAAAAAGATATTGAAGCTCGCGACATAAATTAGAATGGCCTCAATCACATGTCTATTGGAACATGAAAGGGCCATGACTGCTGGGACATCACAGAAAAAGTGGTGGACCACATTGGATTTACAGAACGAGAGGCTGAATGTATTCCTCACATGTATGGAAGCATTCAGGAAACTGTAGATATAGGAACCTGTGATGAGACGAGAGCACACACTTGTTGTCATGGTGATGGTGTAATGTAGGGGTTGGCATACTGCTACATAGCGGTCATAAGCCATTGATGCCAAAAGGAAATTTTCCACAGTGGCAAAGGCTACAAAAAAGAGCATCTGAGAAACACAGGCATTGTAGGAGATGACGTTGTCCCCTAGGAGTTCAGACATGACGGTGGGAGTGACTGCTGAAGAGTAACAGAAGTCCACGAGAGATAGGTTACCAAGGAAAAAGTACATGGGAGTGTGGAGATGTAAGTCCCAAACAATCAATGTAATCAATCCTAAATTTCCTAACAGAGTGATGATGTAGATGACTAGAAACACAAGAAACAGGGGAAGCTGCAGCGCTGGATCATCGGTTAGTCCTAGAAGGATGAACTGTGCCACTTGTGTCTCGTTCTCCATCAGTGTCATCAAAGAATCACTGGATGATCCATAGCAATGAGAAATGGGGAAGAGAGTACAGAAGTTGAATTGGAATTGAAATATACAAATACAACCTGCATTCTTTAATTACAACAAGGGCTTGAGACAAAGTTTAGTGCATCAAATGCCTACTCAATTTCATATGTTGCTGAGTCTGAAGAAGCTCAATGTCTCATCTACCCAGTGTTTACATGTTTACGGATTTATATGCCGAAATGCAGGATATGTAATGACTTGATCAAGGTGATTTTCCTGGATTAATCTTTCAGCCACCCCCCTTTTTGAACACTTGAAGCTGTCACTTATGTTCCTCATCTGCCAAACACAGCTTTGGAAGTTTATAGAGATGTATGCTAATTGCTTTAACAGTATGATTTTGATAGCTATATTAATTCCAATTGTTAAGCTCAAGAGATTGAATAGCTTATTCACTAGCAAACAAGTCAATTGGCAAGCTATACTTCGGACAAGTGCCAACTTTTGAACCCAAATGTTGAGTGATTTCTATGTCTCTTAAGACATATCAATCTAAATAAAATTGAATTTAATTCTTTTTTAATTGTTCATTTTATCCTTTGATGCAAAAGTGTTTAAGGCCTCATAATGAATTAAGTGGATGTTTAGATAAAACTAGTCTTTACTTCTGAGTTGAGGTAAGAAATAAAACAAAACAAAGTGACCCATATAATAGTTCAGTAACAGGTCCCTAAACTATAAAAGGTTACTAAGTTGACTAATTACCTTGAACTGCATGTTACCCATAATATCATTCTTATTATGAGTAGCACAGCACACAGATTGACAACAACATGGTTAAAAGTTAGACTTTCGATTTTGTTAAGGATGGGTTTCACTCTCGAACAATAGCAGCACACACTGATGTGTCACATATGTGGTGGGATAACTGGAATGGCAGGTGCAAGTCCACAAAGCAATGGCAGTTCTGAGAGCAGATACAGAACATGGATTCTTAAAACAGACACATATTACTGCTACCAAACATCATCTCGGAGTAATTGGTCTTAACCCAAATCGGCTAGGCATGGTATTTTCATGCACAAAATGAACAGAGTAATAAGACCTGTGAGATATTCTATGGAAATTGAATAAGGGGATGCATAAAGAATAACAAAATTCTGGGTGTCAAGAGACAGTTTGCTGAGAACTAGCTGTAATGTTACTCTTGGGATGGGATGGCGGGCTTAACACTGGCTTAATGAAGTAAACGGTGACTTGTAGAATGTGAGGCATGGTGAGCTTTACAGTCTTGAAAAGGCAGTTTCAAGACTATCTTTTCTTCTGCACCAAAGTTTCTTGTGTTCTCCAGTGATTCTCAAACTACCTTTGCGCCAAACATGTGATTGTCTATCCTGACAACTTTACACTAGCCATTGTTTTTTTCTCAAATTCTTCCTTGAAACTCATGCTTTACTGTATGTTTAAAATTTAAAATCTGTCTTTCTAATTCTGATTTGGCACCTGTTACCCAGGTTTCATCCGTATCCCAAACATTCCCACCACTTAACAATGACTATTTTTCATGTAGCTTGCATTTTTAGCCCTGCTTAAGAGGGAAAGTGCATGATTTTATGTCATCCTGTACCTGGCTTGTTTCACTTGACGCAATTATTTACAGTTTCATCAATTTTCCTGCAAAAGATAGGATTTCATTCTTTTATATAGCAAAATAACATTTCATTATGCACATATGTAAGTATACACCACATTATTTTTTATCTAGTCATTTGCTGAATTCCTAGTGTTATGCAGCATGGTGGAGTGGCTGTGGTTTACAATGGCTGTTACATGTTTTCTAAACAAACAGAAGAGCTGAAAAGCTCTAGTCACACAGTAATCACAAAGATGGGGACATGGTAATTATCTGGTTTGTTCTAAAATACTACAGTTGTACTCTACAAATATCCACAACTGTTATTAATTTTCTTTTAACATTTTAAAGTAAGTGGGTAAAGTAAGTGGGAAAATTGATTTTCCTAATTTATTTTTTCATTATTATCATCCTATAGGCAAATTGCAGAGTGCAAAGTTTAAAAGTTTCTGATTTATGGGCTGTTGTTAGCTCATAGATACTATTCTCTATGAGGTAAAATATTTCATTTGAATCTGTCTTTCGGTAGGAACAAAATTTCAGGATGATATTTGAATTAAAACCTTTTAAGTATAGCTATCCAGTTAACTACTGTTCCCTACCATCTTTCTCCAAAATTTTTGAAAACTTCACTTTATGAGTTTGTCCCAAGAACATTCTATATTTGCCAACCTTTGTGTATGTAACCTCTTGTTGTATATATTGAGTTCTATGATTAATGGGGAAGGCTATTTGTATAAATGTTTCCACTATGTATGGAAGTTGGATAGTACGTTATGTATCTGGAAACTGAGGATTTGAGCAATTGCGTGATTTTATTTAAATTATACAGCTAATATTTTTTAAAAGACTCAAGATTCAAGAGCTGAACTCATCTACAATTTATTCAAAAGTCTATCCGCTATTAAATTTTTATAAAGTACAGATTTGCTATTAATGCAGGTTTTATTCCAGGGATAATATTCAAGACAAATTTTAGTGCTCACAACGGGAAGAAAATGCAAGTTATCCACTTCTACAAAAGCAAAAAGAGGAAGTCTGTACTGCTCACAGAACATAAATAACATTCTATCTTTACATTTCTAAATAAAGTTGTAATTGCTTCTCTGAAAATCATTTCTTAGGTTTTCCTGTAAGACTATGTGAACTGCATTGAGAAACTTTGACCACACACATACACAAGCAGAGAGAGAGAAACGCATCTTTCTCTAATAATGTACTTACTTGGGGGCTCAGAAACAGAAACAGAAAATACCCAGGACCTGTAACATAAAACCATATATTGTCACATGAATTCAGCTTGAATGACTAATTATTACTGTGATAGTTATCACAATTACTTTTCCAAAAAAGTACAGATTTTAATGTGCATTTCACTAGATATAAATTCTTAAAAAATTTTTTGAAGTTATAAAAATCTATACATTTGGCAATGTAAGTACCACGTATAAAAGAACGATGACAACATGCATGAGATGAAATCCACTTCACTCTTATTGTATTCAGTGTTTTTGGTAATTACAAGAAGGATCATTTCACTCTTGGTATTTTTTTTCCTTTTTAAATCCCCAACAAGATGCACATACACTTAACGTATTTAGAGCCTTGTATCTATTTTTCTGCTTGTATTTCAGGGAGACAAAGTGTGATATTCCATCAGAATTGCTAATGCCTGTAAGATGGAAGCCTTTACATTCACACCCAGAAAATGGTTCAAAATAATCTGTTTTCATTTTTCAAATGATGTGTCATGTACTATTGCTTCTGCATAGCTTCTTCTTGCTTAAAGTATTTATGAAGTATAAAAGCATGCCAGTTCCCTGTAAGAAAAGGAACAATTAATCCAGATTAGTTGTCTCAAAATCAGAAAATCAGCCACAAGTTGCAGCAGAGGAGTTCTCTCTCAGGTAGAGTCTGAAGTTTCCAAGCTCATGTAGGAAAGTTAAAGGAGAGGGAAAGATAGTAACACGGACCTTGTCTGAAACAATTGTTAATTCTTTCTATGTTCTTGGAAGACTTACTTACCTCATCCTTATTTGTCAAAGGAATGTAATATTGAAAGCCTGTGTGCACTAACAATGATTATGTACCAGGTCAGAAAACAGGTGAAGAACAACAGGCCCGCTTCTGTAGTGCCATCTCTCTAAAACAGCATCGTGTTGAATCACACTGAGAATGCAGAGTCCAATATGTGGACATATGTAAAGTGTAACAGAGGCATGGAGATCTTTGAAGATTTCCAGAGGAGATGACCAATGGGCCCCATCATGCTCTCACCAGAGAAGAAACAATCAAATGGCCTGCAAGGATCACGCTTTTTCTTTTTTTAATATGAGATGGTTTTGTATTATTTGCTAGTGTCAACTTTTCTACTTAACGCAATTTACATGTAGAAATAGCCATAATTTTAGTGGATAGCTCTGGAAATTTTGTCATTTGTATGGTCATGTAAAAACTACAACAACGTTCCAAACAAATTCATCTGAACTTTTTGATAACTTCTTACCTTCCATCTCTGATAGCAAATAAAATGATTTTGTCCACATATTTCCCCGTTCTTTTTTCTTTCTTTGCAGAATATTCCCAAATTCTTAAAGAGTCTAAAATCTCTCAGGCTGACATCTTTCCCTTAGCAGAAGTTTCCTATGTTTTATTTTGGTTTTGTTTTTGTTTTTTTGGGTTTTTTTTGGTTTTTTTTTTTGCCAACACTCACCTACTCCACCATCAGAATTGTGGCCTGAAAAGGGGTTCCAATAATTTGCTTGTTTGATTCAAACAAGAATGCAAAGATGATATGCAGTGCAAGGAACTGGAAATTCCTGACATTTGTTGGTTTAATATAGAAGAATAAATTCAAGAGATTAGGGAGACAGTATTAATAAAATACATTTCCTTAAATCTGCTCATTCACCCTAGGAGGATTCAGAAAACACACCCCTTCCCACAACCAGGAGAAGGAATAATTTTGTGAGGGGAGCCCAAGCATCCCTGAGGAATTCTGGTCTCCCCTCCCTGTGGGCCAAATCATACAGTGAGAACCCTTGAGGTCACTGAATTGGGAAACTTTAAAGAAATGGGAGTGATTGGGTCCCAAGCTGTCAGGGCTCTGACTGTCAAAAGGCAAGGCGAGTATGGTTACTGTCATGAAGAACAAGGAGAGAAGGACAATTGTAACAGTCTGACTCTTCATATAGTATTGGCTAAGTGATCATGGTGTCCCTGGAAGTGAAAGAGAAATGAAGTTAATGAAATTTTAATCTAGTGACTTCTAAGTCAACTGAACAAAGTCCACTGAAATCATAAAATTGAGAGTCACACACACTTTCAAATCAATCCCCACATGGATGAGAGTTTACTGGAACATGATAGGGCACCATTG